AGTAACCATAGACATATATAAACAATAGATGTATGAAAGGATTTGGAGCTCACACTTAATTCTAGTTTCAATCTAAGAACAGCTAGTTTTTATGACATGGCCCTACTCATACTTGCCCTCTTTTAAGAGATTCCTCAAAATATGGGTGCTATAGCAAAATGTGGTGAAGAAACCAGATGGTGCCCAGCTATAAGAAAGAATAGCTCTGGGATCTTAAAGTCTTATCTCAAAACAAGCAGCCGTTTAATTAGGCATCAATTAAATACACATGGAAGAAGCACACTAACCTGTGTGATCTAAGGATTGTAAAATATAACAACTCAATCTGAAGGCAGAAATGGTGTCAGAGCTTAAATTGTGAACACCCAATTTGTAGAAGTTCATGGATGGCAGTGGAAACCAAAAATTCATTCTCATAGTCCCCGTACGGATTATGTCTCAGGTGAATCCTCTCTGACCATAGTTGAGGGATGTAAATGTCAGGTCACTGGTGGGAGAAATATACCTCGGTTCTTTCTCATGCAATAAAGAATTCACGCCAAAGCCTGGTTTGTGATCCAAGTGAGTTTTATAAAGGTTAGAAGCAGTGTCAGGTTTCACAGTAAATGGAACACAAGTCAGAGTCCTATGCATAGTTGCTCAGGACCATCACCCAGCCACGCTGGGCATCCCTGCCTCTGGGAGAGAGTCAAGAGAAAAAACTTCTGGGTCCCCATTGGGAGGTGTGGTCGATGATACTGTTTGACCCCATTGGCTGAATTAAGCCTACCTGGCCTAGATGGGGTCCCACCCAGGTCTACCCGCTTCCTGTCTCAAGGACCTGAATGTGAGCATGGCATCCAGCCTTAAGCAGCTTCTGACTTCCTGTAATGGGGGAGGGAGGCTATGGCATGTAAAAGGACAAGCCCTAGTTCTGCCTCTAGCTACCTAACATAAATATCATGATCATCAGTGTTGTAAAGGTGATTATGGCAGATGTACTTAGGTTAAAATGCAATAACTTATCATTTGATCTTTCCTTTGACCCATTTTAAAGTTGTTTCAGTTTTGAATATTTTCTGCTTTCTCATTGATATTTTTCTGTTTTGTCTAGTCATTTTTGTTGCATTTTGCTTTATATCAATTTGTATGATTTTGCTTTGTTTTGTATGATTTTCTGCATATAAATTGTTGAAGAGGTAGATCTATGGAGACAGTAACTGGATAGGGGCACAGCCAGAGAGGATGAGGGAAATGTGGAGCAAGAACAATGAGTAGGAGAAGAAAATGTTCTGAAATCCCATGTGGTAGTGATTGCACAAATCTTAATATAATTGAATGATTCAATTGTATCATCTGTGAAGTATATGCCAATAAAGTTGTTTTAAAAAGCTAAATCAAATAAAAAGACTAACAGAATAAATTGTGCCAATTTAGAATGATAAAAATAGTACCCAACTAGGTTTTAAATGAGGGGAAAGAAGCTACAGATCTAATCTCTGCTCTGGGAGAGTTCAAGAACATGCAGGGTAGAGAGCAGTTGGGTAGTTGGAAGCAGTGCCTGGGAGTAATTCACTCTTCCCGTTTGGGTGCTTGGACTGGCAATAATAGCTTGAAGTACACTGTAGTTTAGAGGCGAGGGTGCTGGATGAGACTGTGAGAGCTAAGAGACCAGAGGTCTTGTCATTTGGGAAAAGGGTGGCTTCAGTCCTGGTGTGGGTGGATCAAGGAAGGGTGGAGCTCACGCCTTTCCAGTGGTATTGCTCTGATAAGTGACCCAGGATGAGGTAGCAGAGCTGGCCCCTTTTATTGGGATGGCCCACGGGGAAAGGGTTGGTGCACAAGCAGCCCCATGGAATGGGATATTGTTGTGAATAACCTAGTGATCTAGATGAGGTTTCACTTAGAAGATGAGGGTATTGCTGATTTGAGGATTGTACAGATGGTAGAAAAATATTTTTTATTAAAATGTATGAAATATAGGATAGTACTGATTGTATGGAAATTATAAAAGTAGTACAATATTTTGTTTTAGGGAAGAGGCGGAAAAATAAAGAGCTAGAGATCTAAATTGTGTTCTGAGAGAGAGATCAGGAGTGTGCAGAGAAGAGAACAATTGAGCAATTGGAAGCAGTGCCTAACAGTGAGTGCCTTTGCCCTTTGGGTATTTGGACTGACAGGGCTAAGTTGGTCCATAGATGAGGAGGTTTGGGGTGAAGGGCTGTGGAAGCTAAGAGATCGGGGTTATTGTAGCTTGATAGGTAGAAACTCACTGCTATCCAGTCAATACTGACTCCATGAGGCTAATTATAGATGGCTGTCCTAAGGGTATCCCAGAGGGTCTCTTGTCTCTGTGGGGGGATGGGAGAGAGGGGGTTGTGTCTAGCATCTTCCTTCAGGAAAGGTTGTTTCTCTGGATGGTCTGAGAGGAGAAGGGAACACGAGCCTTCTCAACAGGCAGGCTATTGCTCTGGGTAGCCTCAGCTCAGCTCAGCTCACTGCCATAGAGTTATTGCCAATTTAAAGTGGCCCTAAAGGCAGGGTAGAACTGATGCTGTGGATTTCCCAGACTGTAACTCTTTATGGGAGTAGAAAGTCTCATCTTTCTCCCTTGGAGCTGCTAGTGGTTTCAGAGTGCTGACCTTGTGGTTAGCAGCCCAAACATGTAAGTAACCAATTATACCAACAGGGCTTCTTTTGGATGCCCTAGGGTTGGACTAATTAGGGAACTGATTGGCATGGGGTCATAAGGGGGGCAGGGTGCTCAGGTAAGCCAGCATCTGGGCCCGGTTGTGAGGCACTTACTCATTATGCCCATTCTCAGGGCATAATTCTAGCATGCTATCAGAGAGGCTCTCACCCACCAGAGTGGTCACCAGCCGGTGAGTGAGGTGTGTGGACAGTCTGGAGGCCAGGTATATGGAGAGCAGCGCCTAAGAGTGAGTGGCGCCCTCTTTCTCACTGCCCTGCTACTTTACCAAGCATGATGGCCTTCTACAGGGACCGGTGTCTCTTGACAACATGTCTCGCTGTACTTCTTCCAAGAAAGATTAGTTTGTTCTTTAGCAAGTTCCCGGTACTTTCAATACTCTTAGCGAGCACCGTAATTCAAATGCATCAATTCAAAGTACCCTGGACTGGAAAAAGACAAACCGATGTGCACTGTAAGAAGTAAGGCCAGAGTGCTCCTCACACGCAAGGATGGGGAAACAGAAAATGATGCAAAATCAATAGTGAATACCATCAAATCATGCAACAAAAATGATATAATGAACAAAGAAAAACCCATTTTGTCAGCAATCATTTCATGGGAGTAAATAGAGAGCTGCCATGTCATAAAAACTATTTGTTCTGAGAAAGCAGATATTATTAAGT